TCCAGTTTGCTCAGACCTCTGCATCTATCTAAAGCTGAGAAAACTGCACACTTGGTGACAGTTGTTTTTTAAATTACCTAATAAAAACAAAGCTAGTAACAACACTCAATTCCCAGGTGTTTAGCTGCCCACAGGCTCTGCCTTGTCCAGGGGCCAGAATGGTGACATACATACTCAATTGAAAGGCCAGGGTTTTTCAGTGGGGTTTTGGCTTTCTCCCATGAGTCTGACAGGGGTACAAAGAGACCAACAACCAGCAATTCAGCCTCTACCAAAAATGCAGAAAATTCTTTATTCCTCATTTTGTGCGCCTATGATTAGTACATCCTATGCCTGGAAACATAGAAAAAAGCACATAAACATATGAGCACTCTGTCTATGAATTGCTAAAACCGTCCCAAATCCACAGAGCAAGACAAAGAAATGTTCAGGATTCCTGGCAATTACTCTTCTCCCAGCACAAGCTAAACAAAACCCTACTATCTAACAGGGGGAGAGGATGAATTAACATAGCCACCTCTCCATACAGCAATTAGCAAATGAAATCAAAACAAAGGAAATGTCCTCCATTAATCTTTCCCTGCCAAAGAGCAACTGACTGCCATATAATCCACAGCAATTAGCCCAATAATGGGAGCGCAAGAGATTTATCTTGAAGCAGGAATTAGGGAGGGCACGATTAATGTACTGTACATCAAGAGTGCAGGCAAAAGCTGGTGATCCCTCAGTGCAGGGTTGTTTGAGGAAACTGAAAAGCTTAGTGGCCTGGAACCAGGTTGCAGCACATAGACCCCAGTATTCCCCTTTAACATATCCTGAAAAAGTCTTGTTGGCAGTCACTGCTTGTGGGAGGATGAGAGCTCATATCCAAATGTACACAAGCAAACTGTAAATGTAAACAAGCAAGCCAGAGAAGACTGAAGCTTATATATGGCTGTTCAGGAATAGCAGGGGCTTTTGCATGCTCATTGCATGAGAAGATTCCAGGATGCCAAGTAGTTTAGGTGACATGGCCCATCAGGATGCAAAGATCCAGAGGAGCACTGAGAGATCTGCCACTGTTAATCACAGCGTCCCCCCAGCTCTTCACACCGTGGGAGATGAAGCCAAGGAAGCTCCAGAATAGCCACTGTTTGTAGGAGCAAAACTTGATAACACAGTGAAATCTCTCGCATTCTATTTTCTTTCCTGCTATTTAGAATTCTTGAAATCACAATGCTCTGCTGCTTTTCACTTTTAGTTCTCACGTGTTGTTTTTTTCTGCCTGTTTAACTTGTTATTTCAGTGGGGATCTAGCTCAAGCAAATCTGCAAAGCAACTGGAAACTGAAGAAGATTGAGTAGTACAGAGCTAGAAAAAAATGCAGCATCCAGGTTGGTGGATTTTCTGCTACAGAACAGGTAGGGGATCAGGTAAGGAAAGTCTTAACACACAAAATACAATTCTTCCCATTAGCTGAATTTTTCTTAAATTTGAAAATGCATTTTCTTTCTTCATTTTCCCTTCTTCAGAATCACATGGAAAGTGAAGAGCAAACATGGAACAGCTTACAGGGACACTACAAAGCTCTTGCTTACATATGCATCAGAAATAGAAGAAAGAAAATGAAGAGGAAAAATTAATTATCTGAAGATAATCTTTGTTCTAAGCACCATTATTAGGCATCACAAGCTTAAAAGACTGTGTTTATTTTAACATAGCACAGGGAAAGACATTTAAGAAGATTTAAAAAGATTTAGACCTCTGCCATAAATATCTGTGCCAAAATTTTACTATGAGATAGTAAACAATTTATAGTCCTGTGACATTAAATGTAATAGGACACAAAGCAGTAACTGAATTCAACAAAATTCTTGTTTCAAGGATATTTGCAACACCACCGAAAAGGAGATTTTAAACAAGTGGAATAGGGATAGTACAGACTGCATACTACTAAAATCAATGCTGAAGTGGTGTGCAAATACCTTCTTGTCATCAACTTAAATATGGACTCACTAGACAAACCAACAGAGAATTTGTGTTGGGAAATTGGTCCCACAGCTGTTGCATCTACTGGGGCTTTTAGTTATTCAGTCAGCTCCAGAGGAATTCTGAGAGCTCAGTAATGAGATGTATTTTGAAATCATCATATTTAGCCGTAGATGAGAGCTTCACTCTACAGGAAGCCTGGTAACAGATTTAGCCCTTCTCCACTTAGAATAAATGGCTTTAGTTTCCATCAACTGCTGTACTGCTGTACCCTGTCTGTGCTCCAGAACACTGTGCTCCAGTATCTGGTGTTTTTTCACACAGCAAAGATAAATAAATACAGAAATTGAGACAGGTTGAACCCACAAGTCATTCCTGAAAAGCCTTGGATGGACTCACATTTCTAATCCTGTAATTTTGCAGTTGATTTGTTTTAATAGAGCAGAGAATTTGCTTCCAAAATCCGAAGTTTGACCCTTAGTCCCCGTGTGTCACACTCTTAATTGGAAAAAATCATGTACCTTTCTGCCAAAGAATACTGCTTGTAAGGGAGAAAAAGATTTATCAGTGCTCTTCTAGAAGAGTTACTAAAATATCAGACAAGGGTTAAGAACAATTTGAAAGACTACTCAGTAACAGTTATTCAGTTCCTCTTTAGATTTTATTTCTTCTCTTTCTCCTTCCTCTCCTTCCTACACCCTCCCTCTCTTCCTGCTCAGAAAATCTGAAAATCTTTTCTCTGTTATCATGTCCTTTAAGCTTCACAAGGAGGACATGTTCCCTCCTGGAATATAATGTATAGATTTCCTGCATGTGCTTAGCATACTCAAAATGGGGAAATGAGGTGGCAAAAGTAAAAAAGTAAGGAACCAGCTCCAGTGAGACAGTTATAGTTATACACCAACATGAAGCTTCAGCTCTCTTGAAATTGCCAGAGATTTAATCCTTCTCATTCCCCTGAACCTTCAACTCACCCAACAGGGTCACCTTGCCCTGATTGTGGCAATCTGAGGTGGTCTCCCACAAAAAAAGTTGAGCTGTTTCTCTAGCTCATGTATATTTACCATTGCTCCAATGAGTCTCTTTTTTTTTTTTTTTTTTTTCTTTTTTTCCTATTAATTTACTGTGCTTCATCAGTGTTTTTACAAAGAACAAAACAGAGAATACCATTTCTGGGGTCCTCTTTGCAGCATACAGCAGTCACTTCCTGGGCACTGAAGAGTAATGCATCTGGAGCTACTTGCTATTCTCCAGAAGCATTAGCATGTCTTGCCATCTCACACTGACAATCCAGACCGAAATGTGCATGAGAAGACAACAGCACCTGCCCCTTAGTGCTGCCTTCTGGGGAATCCTTAATAGCAGCAACACCAAAAGACTGTGCCAGAGAATTCAGTTCTTAAGCAGACAGTTCCACCTTCTCCCACAGTCTGTGTCCTGCTCATTACAGCTGATACATTCCCATGGCACAGAGATCAGCACAGAGCTGCCAACATAGCCCAGCATAAGCTACAGCTGCATCTCCATCTATCCACTTACAGCACTCTTTCTGACAACCTTTCTATCAAGGGTAAAAGAAGGGTGGCATTCAGCCAGTTTGCCTGCCCCACTGCCTTACAAAATGGAAATGGAGGGCAGAACATCAGAGATGAGCTCGTGGCTGCATGGCTAGTCTCCTAGTTGTTTTCCTGTTGGTGGACAGATTGCAAAGAAATTATTATTTGTCACCAAGTTTCAGTCACTGGGGTACTTGCAGACTTCTCCCTTGATGCATTCATAATTCATATTTTTAATATCTAATCATCTACACATGGAGAAATGCTGGAAGCCATAAGAGCATGACCCGGCAGAATTCAGTCTGGTCTGGACTGAACAAAGCTATAGCTACACAGGGCAATCTTGATCATCCATACTCTGCCCCTAAGCAGGGACTCTGTTGTGCCTTAATTTGACAGCAAGAAAATAAAGAGTGGCTTAAAATGAAAGCTGTTAGTCAAGGATTTTGTCATAACAGACAGATTTGGAAAGAACAAAGTTCTCATTATACTGACTGTTGAGATTCTTCTTTGTGAAACTGTGACAAATCTAATAGTGCATGGGGGATATTTTTTAATAGACTCAACAGGCAGATGGATGAGATTTTAGACAGAGACAGAAGTGTATAAACTTCAGCCAAACACAAAGAAAGAGAAACTGCTTGGGAAAACGTAACCGAGAGTAACTCAGCATGGCTTGGTATTGGGAGCTGAACTTGCAGCTTTGACAAGGCTGACTTTAAGGCGACCTTCAGTGAAGCTCTTTAACAGTGTATGCTGGGCAATCGCTGGTAAATCTTTATTAATTTTAATTGGCGGCACCCATTTATAAGAACCATTAAAAAGGATAAATTGAGCCCATCCGGCGTAATGTCTTTTGTTAATTAGTTTGTCAGCACTGTTTTAATATCCCCTAATGACTTCATATTTCAGGCCTGACATTAAAGGAGACGCTGTGAGAAAGGAAATGGTCTTATCACCGTGTACATTTTTTTCTTTTTTTGAACAAAAAGTGTCCTTCCAGGCCTGACCAAGGTTAGGTGTCATTTAACTCAGATAGACAGGTACCACAAGACTTGGAAGGGCCCTATCACCCTATCCAAACCTCACCTTGCTACTGAACAACATGCTCTGCTAAGATACTCTCTTTTTACAGACCCACACAACAGCAGAAGGAATTAAAAGTCATTAGTCACCAAATTCCCATCCTCCACAGCTCATCATGGACTTGTCTTTAGTCCCGAAACATAATCATATGGGAAAAATACAGGAAAAACCTGGTACAAAATTGCAGCCATGCCTCCCTTAAGTAAAACAGGTTAAACCCCACAGAACTGAAGGTCTTTTGATTCACAAGGACATGCACAACACCAATATTCTGATCTGTCTTGGGGACCGCAAACTTACAAATGAAAAGTTGATAGAGTAAGAGCATCAACAAAGAATGCTTTGTGTATGGATTTAATTTGTAAAAGAAGATGACGGAGAAATTATATATCTGGGGATGATGCTTGGTCTGGAACAAGAGTGAGTGAGCAAATCTGTGATTTTGGCGTGAACAGTTCTCTTCTTCTTTTCCTCATCCTGCATTTCTTCTAATAGCACACTCAAATCTTTATCCTGGAAGATGAAGAACTTGAATTCAGTTACAAATGTTGGAAAAGCAATTCTAATGAACACAATATTTTAGACCTTTACATCTCTAATAGGTTATGAAGATATAAAATTAGCTAGTAAAAGCAACTTAGAACATTTTACCCTTTTTCTCTAATATGTATGCACTTGATAATTTTTATTCAAAGAAGAAGTGTATTCAAGGAAGGGCCAGGAGAAGGATCAGCTGTAGCCATCACAGAAGATAGCACAACCCATTATTGTCTGAAAAGTCCCTCTATGAGCAAACCTTGTGTACTAAGACACCTTGTTTCTCTCCTCACACATCTGCCACACACATCTTTGAGCTAATGAACATTGGAATTATTCATCTTGGGAAGCATTTCCTCACTATGAGGCCTGCAGCAAATTTTGTTCCTACTCAGCTTCCTACTGTGACTTGTTCAATCAAGGGGAAGATCCTGAATTAACATTGACTTTTTGTCAGTCAGTGAAGGGTTGTCTCATGAGCTGGATTCTATTGGGTTTCTTCATTTAAGATTACAATAGGTGAGCAATATGAGGCAAATAACATCCCCCAGTAGTTTATACATTTTACATTTGATGCTTTGGTGCCTAGTGTTGGATTAATTCACATAACAGTGAAGTGAATAAGAGAGACACAACTAATAGAAAAATTAGCTTTTCCTCTGTCTTACACAGCTTTGCAAATCATGAGTATTTTCCTTAATTGTAAGGTGCTTACATTTCTGCTGTAATAGTAAAAAGAAAATTAAATTTTTAGCTAATAAAATAGCTTATTTTTTCCTTTAAATTTTAAATTTACCCATAGATGACTCTTTATAGGCATCATACTGAGACTTGTAGAAAGACATGTTCCACTTTGCTAGATCACCTTTCAGCAAAACACAAACAAGTAATTACTGTAGCGACTGAATCAGTTAATAGTTTTATTACTGAGCAAAATCCTTGCCTCAAAGTCAATTGAAATCTCACTGTAAGGGTATGGAGAACTAACAGGTTTTGCTTTTTCCATTAAAATTTAAGGTTAATGATTTTACCAGATTTTTTTATGGATATACAGACACAGCATTTGAATATAAAAAGCAGCTCTTTGATCTCCTGAAAGCCATCCTAGTGTCACTGAAAGCTTGTGCCATGTTTCATACAGATTTAAAATTTTCAGGGGACTGCTAAAACTATTCCCTGTGTGAAGCACACAGTAAAAGCATGCCTAGGGTGAAATAGATATTCCCAGTAGTCTGAACACCTCTTTGAATGAACTGCCTTTGCAGGGATAAAAGTCTTGAGTTTTTTTCTCCAACTACCCTGTCTCTTGTGCACTGGTGTGCTCTACAGAGCTCAGCCCTTCATAATTAAAGGTCCGTATAACACTGGCAGCATCACTGGTACTTAGTCTCCATTTTGTAGTTCTGACAAATAAAAATTTACATAATAGTCTTTCATTTCCATAAAACATAGTTATTCATGACAAGCATATTTCCAACCTTCACCACAGATCAAAACCTTGTGTTTTCATTGTTCCAGTACTTCCCGCTCTCATCGTACAAAAAATTATGCCTTAATTAGTTTTGCTATTGCTAGCTAGAAAGTGAAAAGAGACAATTTTCATCAGATGCGTTAACTCAATGACAGCTGAAATTCACCTGGGGATTGAGAAAGAAGGAAACTAATGTTCCTGTTTCCAGTCACATCTAAGAGCCAGAGAGAAGAGGATGGCATCTACCTCTTCCAAAATATGGCAAACTAAGGCCTAGACCTTCCAGTTGATTCCCCTATATATTCCAACACTATTTTCACCTGTTGATGTCCTTCCTTCTTTCATATAAAATTTTCTGTCCTTCAGCATGTCACTGTTGCTTCTGCTCTTCAGGTTTTAGATATCTAATAATGAAATGTCCAAATACTAATAAAATGCCTATATTTTAATAATTTTTTTAAGTTAGTGAATGTTCATAACATATTCCAGACATTTTAATAAAAGTTTAATGATTTCTTGACAACTTTTAATAAATTATCATTTTTATCCAAAACTCAGCTTGCCAAATTAAAAAACTGCAACAGAAAAAAAAAAAAAAAAAAAAGAGGAAGAAAAAACTACCCACATCTTAGTATGTAAGAAATGTGGCATCCAGAAAAATAACCTGACCAGTCTAAATAAGTCTGTATAATTAATTTTACAAATGTATATGAACAGAATTACAGGAAGGCCCTATCCATGACATACATCCCTGCATGCATCACTGAAGTACCCTAGCTGGTCCTCCAGGCTTGTTCTGATCCCATTACCTGCCAGAAATCATTGAAGAACTTAGACAGATTTCTCTGTGTGCCTGGATTACTCAGTGCATATGTTGAAAATATCAAATTGAAGCAAGACAAACATCAGAACCCATATTTGCAAGGACACTTTTTTATTTTTAATAAAGCTGCTGTTAATAATAAAATCAAGCTGTTAATTTCAATGACAGATAACTACACACAATACATTCCCTTCACAAAGCTCACAACACATTAACTGGTAGTTCCCAGTCTGGAGCAACAGCTGGGAGGCCAACACTAGCAATTCCATCAAAGCAGAAAACTGTACTGATACAACACGGGCTAGCAGGGGTTCAGAAAGTATTTCTAGTGGTCCCTTGTCTCAGCTGCTATTGAACCAGCTGTAGATGCTTTCTGCAGAGAGCACTGCCTCAGGTGCCATGTGAGTTAGGCACCCCACTCTTTATCCTGATGGTTGCTGGAGGCCTAGCGGCCTTCAGCAAATTTGGCTGCCTCACATGCTAATATATCCATGCTTGTGGATTCCACAGCACTACTGACTCTGGAGCTAATCAAGTTTGGAGACACTTTCAGAAATGAGCTTTTTCAGCATGCTCTTTTGCCCTGTTTGACTTGCTTTTTTCTGGTATCCGTCTCTACCCGCCATATATAAATGCCTATGGAATCCATTCACACCCACACAGAAGAGGCCTTTACAACACACAGACAGGAGATCTGACACTTCTGGGAAAAAGCAGAGCTGTTAGTGGTACCATGTGAACTCTACTCCTATGTGCAGTGGCTCAAGAAGTGATGTCAACAGGCCTGTGAAAGTCAGAGTAAAAGCTACAAATTTATTTGTTTACAGTGAATATAATTTTTTTAAAAAACCCAAAACACTAAGAACTATAAAGGCAAAACAAATGTGAAATTATTCAAGCACTTTTTTATTTAGCATATTGTTTAAATAATAGATTAAAACCAAGTTCAAAATCACCTGCTTTGATCAATCATCTAGAGACAACAGTCTATTTTTTTTTCATCAGAATCAGCTTTGTAGCTTATACCTCAGCACTGGAAAAAGCAATTGCCTGATTTTCTCCCATGGTGAAAAAAAATATAAAAGGAAACAGAATAAATCACATGAATTTATGCAAAACCAGAAATGTCACTGTTTGTGTCACATGCTCCTATGTCTTATGACCATTTAGGCAGAAAGTTTTTAGTCCTGCATCATGGTGAGCATCCAGCATCAAAGGAGAGTAGTGCTGTGTTAGCCTGCACTTACTGGTACAGATCTCAAACCACCTTACAAAAACTGCACAACAGCCTTATCCTCATTTTGCAAAGAAGAAACTGATACACAAAGAAAAGTAGTTTGATATTGATGGCAGAATCAGGATACGTCTGCTAATGTTTTTTTCTGGAAAAATACTATTTTTTTTCCTTTTTTCTTTAGTATGGAGGACTAGAAAGTTGAGCCTGCCTCAGCTCTTCTTTGACAAGAAACCTGTTAACCTTCCCAGATTTCCTTATTTTCTTCAGTGTTGCCTTCTCTGTAACTTCTCCCAAACCAATTCCTGGTCACAAGTGGTCAGAAGTGATAGAAACTTTCAGCACCAGTCATTTCAATGAACAATTCTCTCTTTGGCTTCAGACCTGTCACTAATATCACCATTTTCTCTTAATCCACTGCTACCCATAATGAAAACAGTCACAACTGTAATGAAAATTGTTTTGAAAACAAAGTGGGTTTATAATGTGATTCATAAAGGAATAAAAATCTGCAGAAGTCAATGCCATGGCCCCTATTCACAGAAAATTTTCTTACAGAAAACAAGCAAAATAACTCAAACATGAAGATAAACTACACTTTAGTGAACTGTCTCCAAATATTTGATAGCTCACCCCTGTCCTTTCTAACTCACTTTTATTCAACTAAAACAATCCACTGAATAATCCATGTGAATAGTTTTGATCTGGAACCTATCTACAATGACTTCCTTACATGTGTTTTGTAACACATATAATCTTGCTTCCATTCTCCAGCCAAAAATAATGCAGTTTTGGAAGAAATTTCTTGCCAAGAAACTCCATATTTGCTTTGTGAGACCATTCCACATTAAACTCACTACTTCCAATGAGATCTTTCAATCTACTTGTTCACAACAACATAGTTTCATGGAATCATAGAATGGTTTGGGTTGGAAGAGATCTTAAAATCATCTAGTCCACCCTGCCTGCCATGGGCAGGGAATCTTCCACTAGAAAGTGGCTTCAAAACCAACAAAAGTACACTGAAAAGGTAAGTGCATTTCAGGTTTTATATTAGTAATCCAGAGCTACTCTTGGTATTTGCCTGCCTTCACGGAGGGGTGAGGCAATCACAAGAATAGATCAACATCCATACAGGAACTTACAATACCTTTTTCATTGTCTTCTCCATTAGCACTGAGCATGGTGTATATAGGCAGGCCCTACACACCTATAGAGAAAGCCAAGACATGTAGTAGAAGGGAAGCTGGTTAGAGGTACTTTAAACCAGTGGGGACTACAGTGCTCAGTGCTTACTGAAGGGTTACCAAGCTGAGTTCTACTTGGTGGGAAATGTGGGATTATCCCTGGGAACACTTGTAATGACTCACAAGACATGTGGAGCCTGGTCTAAGCCCAAGCCTAGCCTTGAGTACTGCAAAAACTAGTCTCTAATTGCTGGCTCCTCTACCCAGCCTGGGTGACAGGAAGAGAGCAAGAAAGCCTACCTTCAGAGCAGCGCCTGGTGGCAGCTGGAACAGCAACACTGCTTCTGGAGTCCTCCTGCTTGAGCACTTCAGCCTGTTGGCAGAGCTCACAGTACAGCTGCTAATTGCAGGCTTTCACAGATCAGGTCCATCATGTTCTCTCACTGTATCTGACAGGGACTAATGCCTGAAATCACACTGGTCTTAAAAGCAGAGACGGTCCAGAGTTGCAATATTCAAGCACAGTCCTTTTCCAAAAACAGGATCTCCTAGCATGAGGCTTATCTAAGAGCCAGCTGCATTGCAGCAGCCTCCTGCAAGAAGTACTGTGAAAGGTTTTTGATCTTTCTTTTCCATTTGGGGACAAAAGTGTTTCAATCCTATCATCCAACACCTAAATAGGAACAGATTCTCACTCCCAAGTTTGAGAACCAGAAGTAACATCTTAAAATAGCAAGTAGCAATCTTTGTGACAGTGAAAAAATCACTTGGAAAGCATCAAAATGTGTGGAGACCTCATACAGTTTGGAGGAGCTGGTTGAAATCTAGCTGTGGCTCAGTTAGGTGGGTCCTAGAAACAGCTCCTGACTCCCCCCACACAAAAGATTAGGATATCAAACAAGTGCTCTCAGAAAGGGCACTAATTCAGTTTCTGCTCTTATCCTGTGCATGTGAGAGGACTCTGCTCTAAAACTTTCAAAGTAACCAACCGTGGCTTGTGGAAGGAGACATTCCAGTGAGGCTGTATTATACTATCATTTTTAAGGCATTAACTTCAAAGGCAGGCATTGATAAATTTAAAACAAATCAAAAAACAGCACCAATACTCTCTCTCATTCCAGATCCCATTATGAGCATAAGCCAAGTAGAACATCATGATAAATATGCTGTGCTCGCACACCTGTGAGGAGTTCCCAGCCTGCAGTGGGAACTGGAAATCTGTCAACAAGAAGACAAGTGAGCTAGTGGCCTTCTGTGATGAAGGGACTACAGCAGTGGACAAGGGAAGAGTTTGCGGTTGTTATCTGGACATTTGTAAGGCCTTTGACACAGTCTCTCACAACGCCCTTCTCTCCAAATTGGAGAGATATGGATTTGATGGATGGACTCTTTGCAGATGAGGAATTGGTTCAAGTGGACAAAGGCTGAACATCCATATGATGATGAGTGACAAGCGGTGTCCCTCAGATGACTGGGATGAGCATGGTTTTGTATCTCCATCAATGACACAAACAGTGGCATTGAGTGCACCTTCACCAAGTCTGAGCATGAGAACCAAGCTGAGTGGTGCAAGTGACACGCCAGAGGGACAGAATGCCATCCAGAGGGACCTGGACAAACTCAGGAAGTAGGTTCACAGGAACCTCATGAAATCAAGTGCAAGGTGCTGCACCTGAACTGAGGCAACCCCCGGTATCAATACAGACTGGGAGATGAAGGAATGGAGAGTAGCTGAGAAGGAAAAAGGAATTGAGGGTGCTGGTGGATGAGAGGCTGCACATGAACTGACAGCATTCACTTGCAGTCCAGAAAGCCAAGCATATCCCAGGCTGCATCAAAGGCAGTGTGGCCAGGAGGCTGAGGGGGTGATTTTGGCCCTCTGTTCTGCTCCATTGAGATCCCACCTGGAACACTGAATGCGCTCAGGGGTCTGCAGCACAGGAAGGAAATTGACCTGTTGGAGTGGGTCCAGAGAACGGGCACAAAAATGATTGGAAGGATGAAATACCTATCCTGTGAGAAAAGGCTGAGAGCTGGGGTTGTTCAGCCTGGAGGAGAGAACGCTCTGGGAAGACCTTATTGTGGCCTTCCAGTAGTTACAGGGGGCTTACGAGAAAGATAGGGATAGACTTTTTAGTAAGTCCAGTTGTAGGACAAGAGATAATGTTTTTAAACTAAAAGAGGATAGATTTAGTATAGATATAAGGAAGAATTTTTTTTATGATGAAGGTGGTGAAACATAAGCACAGGTTACCCACAGAGGTGGTAGATGCACTGCCTCTGGAAACATTCAAGGTCAGGTTGGATGCAGCTCTGAGCACCTATTCTAGTTGATGTCCATGCTCATTGCAAGGGTGTGGACAATATGACCTTTTAAGGACCATTCCCAAACTATTCCCAACCCAAACTATTCTAGGACTATGTTGCAAGTGTTGTTCATAGTTTGAGAGCCATCTAAGGGTACATGATTGCTCAGGACACACTGCTGGGCTTTGCAGCAGTGAGAACAAGTTTCTTCTTCAGACTTTTGTGGCTCTTTGTACGCTGGATGCATTTGGAGCATAACCGGTACCCCAGGATTCTGAAGCTGCACTCCCCTGTGACAATGCAGCTCACAAGTACCAGGGCACAGAATTTGCAAGAGCTGAGAGTGTTCTTCCTTGGGCATCTGTCTGGAAAACAGTCTTCAAAAGATAAGGTAGCTGCTGCATGACAGTCCAGAAAATGTTGTTCCCCTTTTGAAATGTCTTGTCTACCACAAAAATCACATTAACAATATTGAGATGCATGTCTGTTCCTTAAAAACCAAGCTTTCCCAGAAGAAAGATAAGAAAATAAAAGTACTAAAAGCTAGAAATACCCAAAACCCACCACCACTTAGGAATTATTTGTCTATTATCTCTGTCTATGCTACGTAAATAAAAATGAGGGATTTTATTGACACCATCTATGCTATATGGAAGGTTCTCAAGGAGCAGTGTATTTTCTGTACATGAAAATCTGCTGAAAGTACTGGAAAATTCCATTTTCATGTAAATTGAATATTTCTTTGTGTTTCTTTGACTTCATACAACCAGAACCCTAGAAATGCTGTATTTAAAAAATTCATAAATGTGATACCTTGCAGAACTCAAACTATTTTACAGTTATTTTATTATGTTTTATTATGTCAATATTTATAAACATAAATATAAAATATTTTATATATTATATATAAAATATTAAAATGTTATTATTTTTTAACTGTTGTAACAAAAAAATTAGTGTTATGGTATTGAAAGTCCAGGGATTGAGGGCTTCCCAAAATTTCTACTATACACACAGTACCAACACCCAGCAACATAACTGTGTCACAGGAAAAGCAAAGTTGAGTGACTACGGCAAGTGCAGAGCTTCTGGCAGGAGATTACACAGCAGAGGGAGCAGTTGCCCTTCATCACAGAAGCAATTGAGTAATTTTTTTTCCTTACAGCATTAGCATTGCTGTAGCTGCAAATTATTCTAAGATGGGTTTGTACACCAACATAGTTCTTATTAGATGAAACATGAGAACCGAAGGAAAAAAAAAAACAAACCAAAAATCCTCTTTGAGTACAGCTGAGTACAAGAACTCTGCATTGACTTCAACAGGCATTGGTAAAGCATCCAAGAGAAAAAGCAGCTGGTCTCTCTGTTCAGGAAAAGAGATAGATAATTGCTGGTGTGAAATAGTGAGAATTTGTGAGAAGGGAAATTATCATTCATTGTAATAACTATGCTGAGTCTACAGTTGATAGTGACAGTTTTATATCCTAAGATATAGAAGGTGTTTTGAGAACAAAAGATGTGAGATCAAGGCTAAATCAATGGTGTTGTGTGTTTACTCTTCACTAGTTTTCTGAGGGAGTTTTTTCTGGTATGTAGTCATTTCCTAGTTTGACCTACAAAGCTTCCAGGACACCATCTGGTGCAAAGGCTGAACAAGGTTACATTCTTGGCAGGGAGAATGTAGCAGCTAGAGACATGGGAGATTGACTCTGGGGTGTATTATTCATATTAAGAAACAGGAAGACACTCCAATTCAGAACGCATCTAGAAAAGGTGCTGGAGGTTTCACAGCACTGTGTTTACAGAACCTCACAGAGAAGATGTGCCCCGTGCCTTACACAGTCAGGGTCACTGCAACACAAGACATTGTAGCTCACGCTGTTTGTACATGAATAGGGCAAAGTCAACAATAGGATGAGAGCAGGTGGGCACATTCAGTGATTTGTATTAATATCTAACAGCAATATTTGCTCTCATTCCATTCTTTAAATCTTTATCTTCCTAAAATAGAAAAAATACAGCAAATTTCCATTTGCAGTCTTCTGCCTAACAGACTAGTCATACATGTTTGGTTAGACCAAGTGTTAATCTTAGCTATCTTTATCTTTAAGCTTATCTTACTTAGCACCCTTTGATTCCTACTAATATAATACAATTTAGCATTTCAGCTTTCCCTTTGCTATTCAGTCAGATCAGTTACAGGATCTAAAAAAGACCTGAAAAAGTGAGAAAAGGATCTTTGCTCAGCATGGGTTCCCAAGAGGAGCACCTCAGTCATCCATGAAAGAAAGAAGTCATCAATTTACTACAATTGATTGATAAAAAAATATTTTGGCTATTTTCAATAAACCGAGACATCTTAATATACAATAAACTGCCAGAAGTCAAGAATGATAGGTTTTATTATAACCACACCACTGGAAGGTAACTTCCACCCTTTCCAGGGACCAGTGAACTGATAGATGCTGCCTGCAGCACCAATTTCTTCTAAAGATCCACTTCCCAGGACCGAGGGCATCAAGGTACTGGAAAAAATCAGTGCAAGTGCCTCCAAGTTTGGCTGCTACCTCTATCTGCCCTGCAGCTGACCACATTCTCACCATGGGTATCCCCAAGGGTACAGCAAGGCTACTAACTACCAAGAAGTAGAAGTTACTTTACTTGTTCAGCACTGACACCAGCAGGAATCACACAAAAAGTACAAATGGGTGTCTGGTCAGCACAGTAACCCAAATGACCAGAAACTCTACAAGCAACTAGTGAGGATCTGGCCCTTTGTAACAGTTAGTTTCAGGCCCAGAAAAAGCTGAACATCCGTAAGGACAGCTGTAAATTGGCCAGTCTCCACCTACAAACAGAGAAAGCTGCTGCCATTCATCCCACAAGTGTTCTTGGAATTTGCTTGCTACAGCTTTAAAAAAGGTCAGATAGAAGGTGCTCAAAAAAGAGTTATGCTGTGATCCCTGTGGCTGTTTTAGTTGGGCAGCCAACTCTGCCTTGTGACAGACAGCTGGGAAATGTAGCTACCAAGAGACTGAATTGTATCCACATTTAAGCACTCAAGTTTCATGCGAGCATGTAAATTGTATAGCAGGAATGTAAGGGATGGAGCAGCTGCATTATGAGGAGAGATTTCTCTCCTTAATTTGAAGACATGCAGGCTGAGGGGGCTACAACTGAGAACTGCAAAATCATGAAGGTAGTTGAGAAAGTGAGAGCAGATTGTTAGTCACCAAACCTTGTAATACTACAAGTATGGGCACTCACTCAAATTGCATGCAAGACAGGTTTCAAACAAACAAAAGAAATAATTTTATTTTGCAAACACAGCTGTAGGGAAATTATAGTGATGTGGGACTAGGAGACCATTAATATCAGCAGGCTAGACAAAAAAAAACAGGCTATAAAAAGAGAATTATTTTACTGACAGCCGTTCCAAAATGGATAAGGGAATGACCACAGGTGTGCCTCCCACAGATTTTACTGTCCAGGGCAAAGATATCTGTCTAGGTGGGCCTTAGGGTTGACAAAATAAGGTATTTCTTACACTTTTATGTATGAAGCCATGATTGGAGAAAGTCATTGCCACTGTAGGCCTAAGAGCCCAGACTCACTGCAGGAGAGGCAGCTGACATGGCATCCCCTGTAATCACTGTCAGACCACATGTACTTTAAAAACCTGTGCAGAAGTAATAATGCCATAGGCATTACACATTGAAGAATTGCTTCTGCCTTGCAAAGCATTGAACCTAAATTCAGAATTGTTTCTGTTATATCCCGGTAGCTATAACTACTGAAGTTTTGCAAAAATTCCCTTACTGTTTTTCCGAACATGCAGCTCCTGTCCATAATACTCCCTGCTCCAGAGGAACTCAATGATGGCACCTTTGTCCCTATTGCAAAATTAATTTCTCCCCAAAACTTGCAACCAACCAAGTAAGCTCAATTTACAGCTTCATAAAGGTGGTGTCTAATAATGGCATGCCTGTCCCACTCTCACAGTATGAGAACAGAGATTTTAAAGAAAGAAACCTGTCATTTGCTAGCACTCAAACACATGCTGGTTTCCTCTGAGCACAACAGATTTCACCTGCTTCCTTCCTTTTCCTTTCAGATCCCACAGCTGTGACAGATACTGTTACTAACACACACAGCACATGTGCCACATGTCCCTTTATCTTCCTCTCTCCACTTCTACACCCCTGAAGTAGTGAGAGGAAACTGGCCAGAGTTATCTGGATGTATGCAAGGCCCAATCAGAATCATGAGACCAGATGTATTGACAATAGCTACTGCTCCTCCTATGTATTAAATGCCACCTCCTTTCCCAGAATTTTCTGTAACATATGCAGTGGTCACTAGTCTAAATTTGACCAAACAACTTACCCAGCTTCATACTGGTGGATGGGCGGGTGGATTTCTGAATATGCTTGTGACTCCCCAGGAAGCCATAAGAGAGATGGATCTAATTTTAGCAAAGCCCACTCCTTTCTCAAGTCTGAGGAAAAATCTGTTTCCATTTTCTCTGAAGTCTGCAAGGAAAGTAGGAAGGCACAACATTTTCATCACTGAAATCTAATAAAAATATGACCATACACTAGCTCATTTCTCAGCATTCCAAATATAACCGGAAAGCATACTGTTGTATAACACAAGAAGACAAGCACTGCCCTACAGTGATAGAGATTTTATCTATCTCCCATTTCAATGGACACTAGCCAGCTGGAATTTGTTCATAAGTATTTATTTGATAGCAAGAGGATTTACACTGGTCCAGTTGCCTAGAAGAGGAATCATTGGAAATTACAAGAGGAAATAACCTATTAAAGCCATCCATTTCCTCCACCAGGCATCATACAGGTCTAATCCACTCTGTACCCTTAGACAGAACTGATTTGACATGGTTGTCTGAGACAGCAGAGAACTGGACTAGAATCCTTCCCAGTGGAAATGAACAGTGGAGACACCTCTTCTAACACTGGGAATAACAAATAAGGCAGCTGGGTTCTCAGCAGTACAAAGCAGCAGATCAGTTTCTCACAACAGAGCTATCAATGAGATCACCTCTCACCAATAACCTAAAAAATTTTAATAATCAGAAAACTGTATGATACTAAAGTCATTCTGGTTGTGGCAAAGGGAGAGCCATGTAAAAATATTCCTAAAACCAAACAAACAATGAAAGGGGAAAGAGACACGAGAAGACACTAGAATGGGTTGAAAGTAACTGGGCCCTAGCACCAGACATCAAATTTATTCCTTGGCTTCAGATATCATTCAGGAAAGTTACTACTTACAGAGGCTGACAGAAGTTTCACTTATTGGAAATGTTCTTTAAATTTCAAGTTATCTAGATTCTAAGTTAATTCCAGTCCATTTTTAGGAATTGCTTTACTTTTTATTGTTCTGGCAGGAAAAACTTGATCCTACATATTTTCATCCCTAACCACTAGATGTCACTCAATCCATTTCTGTCTCACGCCCACCACCACAGTAACTTACTCCCGAGGGAAAAAACAACCGAGAGAAAAAAAAAAAAAGCTAGCGAATCAGTACGGAGAAACAGAGAACACCCGAAATAGGGCACAAAGTTTTCCCAAACATAGCCTCTTTGTAAGCCTGAAGTAGCTTTCAAATACATAGGTCAAGATGTTTTGAAGCCGAGACAGATTCAGCGCCACTTTCAGCTGGAGAGGATAAAAATATCAACTCCGTAGTTACAGACACAGAATTATTATCTGTTCAATTAATTTCCAATTCAAACAGCAACAAAGTTAACAACCTGGGTGGAAAGAGTCGCCTCTTAAGCCTCTGCAAAGTCCACTATATTCCCTAAGTCTGAGCCTTGATCCCTGCAGTATATTCCTTATTATAGAATCTTAAAATGTTTTGAGCTGGAAAGGACATTAGAGACCATCCAGTTCCAGCCTCCTGCCATGGGCAGGGACACATTCTACTAGAACAGGCTGCTAACACAACCTGGCCTTCCTTGAACACTTCTGTGAATGGGGCAGACACAACTTCTCTCTGCTCCAGTTCCTCACTTCTCTCATAGTAAAGAATTTCTTCCTAGCATCTAAACCTACCTTCTTCTTCCAGTTTGAAGCCATTCCTCCTTGCCCTGTAACTACATGCCCATGTCAAGAGTCCCTCTTCAAGCTCTCTTATAGTCTTTCTTTAGGTACCAGAAGGATGCTAGGAGTTCTTCCCAGAGCCTTCCCTTTTCCAGGCTGAACAACCCCAGCTCTCTCCACCTGCTTTCATAGGAGAGGAGTTACAGCCCTCTGATCTTCTGCATGGCCCTTCTTGGGTTGGAGCCCCAGAGCTGGATGCAGCACTCCAGGGAGGGGCTTACCATCTCACCAGAGCAGACCAGAGGGACAAAGTCACTAGATACAGATGTATATACCACACCTCTGTGATGCCAATAAGATCATAGCCCTGCAGGCACCTACACATCTCTAATTCTTTGCGGTTATTCCCCACACTGTGTGCAATTGCATAGACGCATTTAAATTGCGCCTTAATCCCACCCCAACCCTATCCCAATGAAGCCGACTACCTGCCATCTCTCTCCACACACGTTATAAGATATTCCCTTGGAAAAGGTACCTTTTTAGTTTACAGCCAGTTTAAAAAATTAATAATTTTAATTAATAATTAAGGTATTAATAAAATTAATACCTTAATTTTCATGAAACCCCAACCCTACCTACAAAACCTGCAATGATAAATTATCTCCCCTGTATAAACAGACATCACTGTGTGGCATCAAGCACATTTCATATGATGCCTAAAAAAATGTAATGCAAAACTGAATGGGAAAGTATAATTACTAGATTATCAGGTTTTGGCAAACCAGGGAACATATGACAAGACTGTGAAACAGTAAAAGGGAAAAGGAAGGAGGGGAAATCAAGAACCAGAAGATTAACACTGACAAAAACAATGCACCATTTGTTAATAGTGATAGACCCTTTTTTTTTCATGAAACTTTTCATTCATACTATTCTAATACGTTCCTCAATGTCTTAGAATATTAACAAATTCCTATATTCTTTTCAGTCTATGACATAACAGAACAGATCAGTATAGTCCTACTGATCTATGCATTTCTACTCTAACATCAATAAAGCATTTCCAATAGTGAAAATAAACCATATCTTTAGCATAGCTAATCCTTTTGTAATCAGTCCTCTCCAGCCCCCAAACATACCTTGCTATAGGAATTAACCTACTTTCAAAAAAATATTGGTCTTTCCACATGCACAGATTTTTCATTCAGAATTTATGTAGCCTAGAAACCAAAATAAAGAAGGTTGGCTTGCTGCTTAGGAGAAAACTCGCATTATAGCCCTGGCCTACCACTGCCTTCCTGCGGGATCCTGGACAAGTCATTCAGGACGTTTACAGTTCACAGAAGAGGACAATGCAGAGTGCTCTGAGCTGCAGATTCCCAAGCCAGGAAACACACATGGCACAGCACTGCTGAACCTGTATGAGCCAGTCAGTACTGGTACATTAAGGTGTCATTGCATGGAGGTGGTTGCCTGGCTCATGAGGTCAGTGATCACACAGCCTGCTCTGGTGTCTTTTCACCAACAGTAAAAGCACTTGCTGGTTCTTCACCTCTTTTCTCCACTTGAAGAGTGAGGAGAGTAGCCCTTTCATGTTTTGTGAAGATGCTCTAGGGATACAAGCAAGAAAATTAGGGAAGTGCGGACAGAACTGAGTACCAGAGAGAAGGGAATGCACGCAGAACTATAAAACCCATGCAGCACTTGAAAGTTGCTTTCCTGCAATAATTTTATCTTGGACATCAGGGAAAAAAAAATTTGAAAATCTTTTACTACTAAATTATAAAGTTAGAACTGGAGACACTAAGGACCAAGCTGTGAAGAGAAAACTGATCAGCATCCATTTGACTTGGAAAACTATAAAAAAATATCGTAAGAAAATAACTTTGCTCTTGGAAAGTGCCACTTTATTGACATTTCTTGAAGAAAAATACATTTCTGCTGAGAAAGGTTACTCAGCTTCAAGAAGGATTTTCTGAGAAAAGGGAGAGATACCAATTCCAAAATGTACTGCAAATCAGCAGAGTTAATGGTAAGACAGAAGTTCAAACTGCATGCACGAGACTTGGCACGGGGAATTAAACCTAAGGCTCCACATAAGCTCCTGAGCTGGCGAGTACAGGAGTGGTGCCTTTTGCATGTACAACTGAATGCTCACTGTAACCCCTGTAAGACAGGCTCACATGTTAGACAAAACTCAGCACACTTGTTTGGATGTGAGAAACATTACGTTTAGATTTCTATTTCACACAAAGCATGGTTGGGTTTTGAAAGCAGTTCTTTCAAATATTAAAAATAAATACCCTGTCTGTTGGTGTATTCATTATTCTGTTTCCAGTTACATCTTTCAAAAGTGTCTGTTCTGTACCAGTGTAGAAGAAGAAAAATATTTTATTGGATAGGAGCCTGTTTTCTCTCCATCTCTAGAAAATAATATCAATAGACAGAAAGGAAATTAAGAATTTTGTGATAAAATCTTACCTTTATCCAAAAGCTCACTGAGCATTTAATAAACTTTAAAACAGGCACAATTTTTTGCAATTCGTGTTCCACACACCCTTCAGAAAAAAAGCCCTTTTCCTTCCCAGCTAAGTACATTGTTTTTATATTTATATTTTATATTTATATCCCTTTCAGTGAAGTTTGATGTGAAATCATATCAGACTGTGTTCCTTCCTGTAGATCCACTTTCAGTACTCAAAGCTGGGGTGGCTACAAGAGACCTGGAGAGGACTTTTTACAAGTGCACGTAGTGATGGGATAAGGGGAATGGTTTCAAACTGATAGAGGGTAGGTTTAGATCAACAATTAGGAAAAAATTCTTTACTGTGAGAGTGCTGAGGCACTGGAACAGGTTTCCCAGTGAGGTCGTGGATGCCCCATCCCTGGAAGTGTTCAAGACCAGGCTGGATGGCTCTCTGAACAACCTGATCTAGTGGAAGGCATCCCTGTCCATGGCAGGGGAGTTGAAGTAAATGATCTTTAAGGTCCCTTCCAACTCAAACAATTCTATGATCCTATGATAAATACAGAAGTCTCATAAATACTGGCTGATATTTTAAAGCTTGATTTGATCTAAGTCTCTCCTCCCTTAAGTGTAACCTACGCATGAAAAGAAATCAGAATGACTGCAACTGAAGAGAAAAATGTGTGGAGTCCTTATATCAATCTCTTTTGAAGTCATTCTTAACTGCCAACTAAACAGGGCTATTCTGGCACTGCTGTGCCAATTGATCTCCCAGACACACTAAACATTACACGTGCTATAATCAAGTAACAAAAGCTTCGCTGTTATCTGCATAGGTAGTCCTGATTAGAGCAAAGGCAAGAATAAATTTTGGGGTGAAGGCAGAATTCCTGCTCGGGGCAAAGATCTACTGCAACACATGCAAACAGTTCAGCAGCACAGTGATCTCAGCAGCGTAAAGACATTTGTATGAATAGGCTAAAGGGAGTACTGTGAGCTAGAGAAAACTAAACACAGGGGGAAACACAAATAAACACCATGTAGACCATGAGGGGAAG